TTTTAGTTTTTTTTAACTCTTTTGTTTGAAATGGAAAAAATCTAGCTGCTATCTAAAAAAAAAAAAAAGGTTCGACTATCAGTCGACTACGGCAAAATCGAACGAATCAGATTCGACTATGAAAATCCTTAGTCGAAAACAACCCTAGTACAAATCACTCCTTATTTTTGTGGATATGATTTTACACAAAACAAATAAAAATACATATTAGTGGATAGTGATGTATTTGTGATTTTCTTCCCTAAAGATCACCTGCAGTATATGGAGCCCCTAAAAGGTCTGGGTGGGAAAATATATTTTTTTTTTTTAAAAGTTCCCTCTCAACAGTTTTGAGTTCCCTTGCAATATACTTTTCCGTTACTAATAATAACTGTACCATGTCCATTTAACCCCGCAGTACTTTTCTGTTACTAATAATAACTGTACTATGTCTATTTAAAGTACATTTAAAGTAAAAGTAGAATTAATGGACTAAAGTATGAACCTAAACCATGCACACTTATCCAGTTAGGTTTGCTTTAAGCATTAAACTATGGGGGACAATGCACACCATGTAACTTTCATACATGCATTTTTATACATATTTATTAATAATTACACTATGTCTATTCACCATCAGTGACTTTAAACAAGACAGCTGGTGAAAGGTGAAATGCAAACACAAACATTTAAATATTAATTAAAATTAACCCATAAAGAAATCTGGGATACCAAGGGGTGTTGCTTGCTTTTGCTGAAAGATACTACAGCCAGAAAACTGTGTGTCATAGTTAAGGTTTAAGCCCAAACCCACTTTCGGGTATATACCCCTGGAATTATTGCTTGATGATGTATGTGGGGAGCTTTATGTGCAGTTTTCTGGATGTAATATCTTATAGTTTAATGCTTAAAGCACACTTTACAAGACATGTCTGTATTACTTAGGTTTATCCATGTTATCACGTTGCAGTAAATTTATAGCAAGTGGGCAAGTGCAGCGGAATCGCAAAACTATTGCCAATGAACACAAAACAATTAAAATATTTTCCCAAACAGACCTCCTAGGGGCTCTGTAGAGGTACAAATTGGGCAAAAATCAGCAAATCAACAGGAGGGAAGTCACAACTAACGTGATCCACAAATAGACAGACCCTGATCCACTAATCGGCAAAACACGTTTCACATGTATGAATCGATCTGTATTTTTGTGGATATGATGTTACACAACACAAATTAAAAAGCACATATTTGTGGACGGTTAAAAATTTGTGGATCTTAATACATATTTTTAGATGATTATTTATAACCCACTGAAGACAAAGTCCAATAAAAGCTTCCATAAAAGTGCCACATCCCATGTGGTAGCATTTTACCTTGCGAACTGTCATCCAAATGATGAAAAAATGATGCTGTAAACAGTGTATTATGCGACACCACAAAATAAACGATAGAGCATAATATGAAACTAAAGATGTTTTTATTTTGTTATCCTGTATAATCATCATATCGCATAGCCCAAGCCAAAACTGTATAGGGGCGCGGTGCTTTCATGATGGCTGGTATCTCATAAGCCAGAGAATGACAGCACCAGTAAAGAGGGAGATAAGGAATGTTCAGCTCTGCAACTAAAGCCCACGATGGCAGCAGGAAGCCTGGGCCTGGGCCCATAAAGACCAAGCTGTCTTGTTGCTAAGTGATTGCCATATTTCCACTGAGGAACAGCGCTCCATTGAAACGTAGCACTAAAGTCATGTGCTAAAGCCTCCACTCTTGACTAGCGCGCCACAAGAAACGACCAAATCTACGACCAGTCTACTTCTAGGTCTTGAAGAAGCATTTACCCAGACCTTCTCTGCCCTTACACTGACATTCTTGCAAACCATGCTGGGAAAATTAAGCTTTTATATTTTGATGGTTCCCGGGACAGCAACCTGCGGGTACCAAAGGAAATGCCACACTGACACATGTAATCACACCGCTCTGGACTAGTTAGATGCTGTAGTATGAGAAAACAGGTGGTGCTATCCAGCTCTACAGAGGGTTAGGGGTGAACAGCATGAAATACAAGCAGTGAGGAAACGAAGACGCAGGACACCAATGAAGAAATGACTGAAAAAGGGAAACTGTTTGCAGCAGGCTTTCTAAGCAGCTACATTCTTCAGGGAAAGCGACATGCAAAAAATACCGCCGCTATTTTTAATGAGTACGCAACCTGCCTCTCTCCCTCCTGCTTTTCTGTCCAGCCCCAAAGAGACAAGCCTTGATGTTTTCACTGCTTACGACAATGGAGCTGCAAAGGAAGTGACACTTGGGCCCCGCAGGAGGCTGGCTCAGCTACCCGACCTGCTTCTAGCCGCGGTATCAGAACAGAACCTGCACATCAGCAGATGAGGTCAGGAACAGAGCTTGACTCTCCGAAAAACAGGGCGACACAACCGCACACACTACCAGCATGGCTCTTAAGAGAGGACAGCTCTCAGGAGAAGACAAAATGTACATTCTCCTGTTTTCCCCGCTGTCGTTTCTGTGTCTGGGCCTGGATGTCACAGCCGTGCATCAGCAGATGGCCTAACCTTCAGAGGAACAAGATGTTGACTCACTCCTGAGTGGCGCATGCAGGTAAAACACATGAAAAAAGTACCAGAGGTGGTTACTCTAGGGGTTTGTGCAAAATGGAGTACTCTGCTGCAGGCTCATGACCCTACAGGGCAGGTCAAAGCAACAGGGCCAAAGAATAACCTGTGATTAGATCTACATATTGTGGAAAGAAAGACATGTCACAGCCAGGGGAGCAAGCAGAACCCAGAATTCAGCAGGCTAGAGTGTTCAGTGACTCCTCCCCCACCCCCCAACCACAAACACACACCAGAGAAGCTAGTCATAAATGCACAACAATTACAAGACTTCCTGGGGAGAGAGGGGGTTTGAGGGCTTACACCTGTTTCTTTTAAAATGCAACGTAATAGCGAAAAATACCACAAATATTTATGCTTTTTCATACAAGTGAGTTTCATATCACAGTCTGGCCAGTACAAATGCACCTGAAGACAAGGAACAGACTTGACTCCATTCTCTAAAAAGGAAACAGCCAAGGTGTGATATTTCTGTGCCTCCAGCAGGAGGCGTAGTGGTTAATGAGTCCCATATCTTCAGTTGGGCCCAAGACTATTGTATCATATTGCAAGTGTACACGTATACAAGACTGAACAATTGTTTTGCAGAGAGATGCATATCCTAATGGTTACTGGTTTGAGTAATGGCATTTTTCCTTTACCCTTTAGCAAACTATTCAGCTTGAACTGCAGCATCAAGCACTCATCTGTACAGCAAAAACATTGAAGTATATTTATGTTTACAGCCTGAAATACAAACAGATGACACTGACATGCAGGAAAGCTCCAGGTTCCATAGTGTACTAATAATTTGTATTTCTTTAGTAAAATGCATTGAAGCTTGTGCATGAAGGATCCCCTTGGGGGTCAGAGGGCATCTGTTGTGTTTAACAGGAAATATTTGTGTGTAGTAATGCGACTGTATGTGTTCCTTATTAAGATGCACCCGGATACCACTCAGAATGAAAGACGGAAACGCCGTGTGTAAGTCAAAAGTGTACGGTGCTAGTCGCAAGCAATCAGTAAAGTTCAGCCAAATTTACTTTGGTATTATTGTGTGTTTGTGTTAGAGTAGAACACATCAGCATCCTTACCTGTCACACCGGTGGTCCACAGCACCGAAGGAGTCACATGCACAGGGCAGGCAGCCCGTGGAGCCGTTGTTGAAGTGGCCGTCCTCACACATGTCACACTGGGTCCCGGCGTACCCTGGCAGACAGGCACACTGACCCGTGTCCTGGTCGCAATCATCTGGGTCTAGAGCCCCCTCGCCACTGCAGTTACAGGGGACCTCGACTAGGGAGGGAAGGAGGGGGAGAGAGAGAGAGAGAGGAGAGATGGAGTGAGTAACCTGGGGGTAGACGAGTAGGCAGGATGGAGATGAAGGAATGAAGGAGCTAGCCTTCGATTCAGGATCAAATCCCAAAGAGACACGCACTCAATAGCACAGCCCCTCCTGGGACTGGACCCAGTCTCTCCTCAACTACAGGCACATCTGGGTGGTATCGAGTTCCCCATCACTGCCAGAGGCTTTGTTGTTTCACTTTCTGTGGTGGTGATCTGGTATCAATTACCCTGTTAAATCCATGCACGGAACTGTACACCCTGAGAGTAGGGGTGTAATAATACATCAATTTGTATTGATATATCGATTCAATGGCAAACGATCCAATGCATCGACGTGACTGCATAAATATCGATGCAAGATTTTTTTTTCTTCCCCTCGCCGGTTCCTGTATTGTTTTCATGATACACTCAGACCTACACTTGGCCTATACTCCTACAATGCAGGTGGCAGTAGCATAACCTATAGGTGGCAGCATGCAATGGCACCTACAATTGTGGCCAAAAGTTTACATACACTTGTAAAGAACATAATATCATGGCTCTCTTGAGTTTCCCGTTATTTCTACAACTCTGATTTTTCTCTAATAGAGTGATTGGAAGAGATACTTATTTGTCACAAAAAACATTCATGAAGTTTGGTTCTTTTATGACTTTATTATGGCTTAACAGAAAAAAGTGATCACATCTGCTGGGTCAAAAATATACATACAGCAACATGAATTAGCAATTTTGGTGACTTAGAAAGTTGTGTCAGTGAAATGAGCTTCATAGCATGGCCTCTTAACTTCTTGTGAGTGATTATGAGTGACTTCAGCTAGTGACTTCTCTGAGGCCATTTAAGTAGGACTCATTGGATACAAACGCCCACAAACGCTACAATGGGAAAGTCAAAGGAGCTCAGCATGGATCTGAAAAAGCGAATTATTGACTTGAACAAGTCAGGAAAGTCACTTGGAGCCATTTCAAAGCAGCTGCAGGTCCCAAGAGCAACAGTGCAAACAATTGTTTGTAAGTATAAAGTGTATGGCACTGTTTTGTCACTGCCACGATCCGGAAGAAAACGCAAGCTATCACCTGCTGCTGAGAGAAAATTGGTCAGGAGGGTGAAGAGTCAACTGAGAACCACCAAAAAGCAGATCTGCCAAGAATTAGAAGCTGCTGGAACACAGGTGTCATTGTCCACAGTCAAGCGTGTTTTGCATCTCCATGGACTGAGAGGCTGCCGTGCAAGAAGGAAGCCCTTGCTCCAAAAGCGGCACCTTAAGGCTCGACTGAAGTTTGCTGCTGATCACATGGACAAAGATAAGACCTTCTGGAGGAAAGTTCTGTGGTCAGACGAAACAAAAATCGAGCTTTTTGGCCACAATGCCCAGCAATATGTTTGGAGGAGAAAAGGTGAGGCCTTTAACCCCAAGAACACCATGCCTACCATCAAGCACGGTGGTGGTAGTATTATGCTGTGGGGCTGTTTTGCTGCCAATGGAACTGGTGCTTTACAGAGAGTAAATGGGATAATGAAGATGGAGGATTACCTTCAAATTCTTCAACATAACCTAAAATCATCAGCCCGAAGGTTTGGTCTTGGGCGCAGTTGGGTGTTCCAACAGGACAATGACCCCAAACA